GGTGAAAATCCAACAAAACGGGCACTAGGACTCGAGAAACGTCACGCAAGGCAGAACCATATAGAAACTATCGAATGCAATTGTGTAGAGACAGCAGACAATAATAGCATTGAACGGTCTTTCTTCAAGCTCTACGAGGCTCTATCCGCTACTAGACCAGTTGAAGAGACCATGTTCAAGGAGTCCTTCTTCAGTAGAATGCCGCGGCTGTCTGATGACACAATAGCAGTGTTAGAACAGCCCGTATCACAAACGGAAGTAGAAGAGGCCACAGATAAGCTCAATCCTGGTAAGTCACCGGGGCCTGACGGCCTGAATGCTGTGTTTTATATAACATTTAAGAGTGAATTGTCCGGACTGCTTACAGAAGTCTTTAACGAGTCATATGAACTAGATAGTCTGCCTCGGTCTTTTAGTGAGGCTCATACTATTTCGATAACAAAATGGAAGAGAGAGAAAAGTTAACACTAGTTTTGTGATATCGGCCTATATCATTAACTAATTGCGACTACAAAATCTCGATGAAAGTACTAGCGCGGCAACTCCAGGTTGTCATCGAAGAATTGGTGGCGTCTCACCAAACTTGCGGTATTATGGGACGTTTCATTTTGACCAGCATATAGAAAATGCGATGCGTTCTTAAGTGTTGCGACGCCACGGAAAGTCGTGTGGCCATTCTGCAGCTTGATTCCGAAAAGGCATTTGACTGTGCCTCTGATGTCCTGCTTCTTGCCATACTAGACCATGTACATGTTGGTTTGGTAATTAGAGATGGTGTGGCTTTGGCATATCGCAATTGCCAGACACGTTTAGTAGTTAATAATACATTAGGGGCCCCATCAGCATTAGGCGTTTCGTCTGTCAGGGATGCCCGCTTAGTTCTGTTTTGTTCAGAATCTATATAGAAACGTTATGCTTAGCAATAAGTGAAAACAGCAGCATTCACGGTTTTAGGTTGCAGGCATCAAAAGTGAAAATTCTGGCATATGCGGATGATGTCGCAGTTTGTCGCACACACTAAGAAAGTGTGACAGAGGTTATCACTGTAGTAAAGAGTTTCAGCAAGGCCACTGGTAGTCTGGTGAACTGGAGAAAGGGCTTGGGTTTTTGGCACGGAGAGTGGTCATCCACACCGGAATTTTTTCGCCAATATAAAGTGGGGAACATCACCTGTCAAATACCTATAGGGGTACCACTAGAATACTACAAAGACAATGATGACTATTGGCAAGAACAGGCAAGAGAAATTCAGTTGAAGGCGAGTAGGTCACCGGGGAATCACCTATCAATGTTCTCGAGAGCTACGGTTTGAAGTTTGTTCTTTGTCTCGAAACTTTGGTACGTGATGCAGGTGTTGCATTGTTCACGAGTCAATATACAGAAATTTCATCATGTTTTCGCGGTGTTCGTGTGGGCCTCAAGTTGGGAACGATGCAGTCGAACTAATTCATTTAGGCGTGTAAAGAAACGTGGTTTGGGACTACCACACCTATTCATAAGGCAACTCATAAACACGTTTTTTTTTCTTTTTTTCTTAAAGTGAGTGGTTCATTCCTGTGTACGGTCTGTCAACTGAGGCTAACGAGAGCTTTACCTGGATATGTAATGGGCACAGACCACATGAATGGCGCTGTCCGCGGATATCTCAAGGAGGTGATCTTAAGTATACACATTCTGTCTGTCAGATTTTCCAATGAGTACTTATTTTCAGTGTCACGCAAAAAGCTGCACAGAGATGTTTGTGATACAATTTGATCCGTTTCAATGTACAGGGCCATATACAGAGGAGTTCAAGGGCAGGACATACTAAAAAGGGTTAAAATAACGCAAGTGGCTCCTGCCACAACGACCTCCGTTTTCAGGATTCACACGGGCACTTTGCACGTTAAGGTATTTCTAGAAGAGTGGGGTGTCTTTCTGCCTTGGGGGTCAGACTGTCTCGTTTGTAAGAAGCCAGAAACTGTTGACCACGTTTTTTTTTGCATTGCTGGGAGGGAGTGCATTTTTGGGATGCATTGCAGAGGACAACAAAAAAAGAATTCCCGCTAGACTCTTACAGTATCAGATTTATGCCGATTGAAAATGAGGATGGTTTGCCATTTGACTTAATATAGTTAACAGGCCTCCACTGTTTATGGCAGGCCCATGTGGCAGAATTTCACTGTAATTCAGATGCATGACCCGCAAGAATGTACTTCCGAGAGTGCATGGTAAAGTTTGTAGAACATACGAAAACACGGGAGTCTGTTCCTGCGTGGTTGTCGAGGGTGGAAACCCTGACAGCTCTCAAGGAATTTAAAGCTAGTGTCTATTCAGTAGGACTGCCACCACTTGTTTTCGCGACCTTTACGGCATTGTTCATGTACATAGTGTCTGGAAACAGGCATTAAAGCAAAAAAAAAAAATGTTCCGTGACATAGTGGATAGCACCACACGCTGCGTATCGAGAGGTAGCTGGTTTGACGTTGCGCGACAGAATATTTTGTTACGGTTTTTTTTCTTTGCAGTCTGTTCGTATACGCTCAAAAAATTTTCCCGAGTAACTGCGCAGTTACCCCGAAAAGAGCGCTTTGCTCCTACAAAAGAAAAAAAAAAACGATTGTAAAAGTTTGCACCCGGCACGACAAGGAGGGGCGATTTTTTCCTTGTGGAGGAAAGCTCTAGAACTGTAGAAGTGTTCGCGCCGTGTGCAAATGGCCCATCAGTGCATACATAAACCTGTTTCCTTTCAGACGGTGCCACAGCGTACGTGGTGTAGCGGTTAGTATACGCGTATGCTGATTGAGCGGTTGTGAGTTCCAACCACTTGTGTTTGCTGTAAATTTTCTTAAATGTGATTCTGAATGTGATGCTTGCACATTAATTGTATATCCAGTTACATGTTAAAATTCTGGCTAAATAAACCAAAATATGATTTCCCTTTTGCGAAAAAATCTCTTGCTCTCTTGAGGAGTAACCGCGAAAGGGTGGAGTAGCTCCGCTGTTACCCCTAAAATTGAGCAATGGGTGGGACTGGTTAGTTACTCCTCTATAGGAGCAACTTCAATACACATATTCGGCTTTGACTTCTCGAAGTGTATGTATTTTACAACGTCACGTCCGTGACGGAAATACGTCAGTGGAGCCGTGGTGAACCCCGGCATACAACACTTTGTGTTAAAACTTGGTGGACTTGGCGCAGCTCGTTCAGTGCAGGGTTCGAAGTGATACATCATTGGCATGAATCATATTTCGCAAATGATATTTCATGACAGATATTTCATGACATGTCTAGTAACTCTCCCAGTATATTACCGCACAATGTTTGGTGAAACGCTACCAGACTGGATTGAAAACTGACAACTTCTTAGGCTCTAAATTTGTTCTACTATAGTCTCCAGGCTAAACCCCCACAATGTTCTTTATAACACCAGTTTCATTATTACGTGGTTTATTCCACGCACGCGCAGTAACTACGGTGAAGCAGTACTGCGCTTTCTCTTGCGTTTCGCTTGATCGCCGTTCCATCTACCATCTGAGTGAAAGGGCATATTCGTATTAATCCTTTGTTTAATCGCCTGACTATATATTCAACATGCTGTTACTTCAACCTATAAATGTAATTTGTCTACGATTTTTTTCTTTCACTGAGAAAGGTTTCACCTGCGCATGTTCTTTTTGTTTCACATGTAATAAGCGTATTAATTGATTGATATGTGGGGTTTAACGTTCCAAAACCACCATATGATTATGAGAGACGCCGCAGTGGAGAGCTCCGGAAATTTCTACCAACTGGTGTTCTTTAACGTGCGCCCAAATCTGAGCACACTGGCCTACAACATTTCCGCCTCCATCGGAAATGCAGGGGTAATAAGCACATGGGCACACGTGCAATCTGAGTGTGGTGCTATGATCTTGTATTTCTTACACTCTTAATGGTTTAGTATCTGTAATAGAATCATTAAGATTATTGTTTTCTTTTACGTTTCAACTTTTCACTTAATTAATTTTAGTCTTTATGTCTCATTAGATTAGTAGAAACAGCCACTCAGATAGTTTGTTCAGTTCGTACATTTTCAAACATGTCGGTTATGCCGCCCATCTGTAAATTGTCGTGGTCCGAGGCAACCTCATTAAAGTCAATTTGACACCGGCCTTTTTCGAAAGTTATAAATGAAGTTACAAGTTAAAGTAAATATAGGCCGATATGTGTTCATTAAATAATGCATGCGCATTATTTTTAATGAACCAAGTCGGCTGACATCAAGTGTTTTAATGAAACGGGGTGACCGTCACGACCTTGTGAGTGACGAAGATGATTGTACACCATGCATCTTTCAATATGTCGCAATTATTAGTAACATAGTTCACATGATCAGATGCATTAATAGTGGTTCTTATTATCGACTTCCCGCCATACATCACCACCTGATTCAACACTTATGAGATTCGCAATATATATATATATATATATATATATATATATATATATATATATAATATATATATATATATATATATATATATATATATATAGCCAGCATGCTGCCTGCCTCACATTATGCATTAGGCGGTATATGTGATTAAACCTACTACATATACCACATAATGCAAGGCAGGCAGCGCGCTGGCTAGTAGCACTTAGGCAAACGAGGCTAACGAAGTGTTCGCTACAAAGTCTGCTACATTCACATTGATTTATTAGTTTAATCAACCGCCAATATTTCTATGGTATGTCATCCTAGTAAAAATACCTTTGTCCATTGAGACGTCATTAAAAATAGCGTCAGCTAGAATTAGGATTTCATCATTATTAACGTTTCAGTGTAATTGCATCTGTAACCTGTGTTAGCACTTTAAAAATGATAAATTCAGACAGTATGATCCACCCGACTCTTGGCCGATCTATCTGAGTGGGTAAATTACTTCATCCAAGGAGCATCACCATCATCACCGTTAAGGAAACAATTCAGCCATTCTACCAGTTAAACTACTACCGACAATAAAGGTCAACCGCAGCGGACTTCTGCTAGCTCGAACAAAGGTAAGCATCTTCTCAGTCTACTGACCAAATTAGCTGTTTATATGTACTGAATAAATTAGCCCATTGTCATTATTAGTATTGAGTTATGTTGCACGGCTTTGATAGAGTTTCACTCACTGTGCTTACGTGGCTGTTGACGTTTAGCAGACGTGTAAAAAAAAAAAAACGTACGTACACTTCAATTTCCTTTATATTGTATTCCGTATTTTCTTGTGCGTGTGAAAATACTTCCGCGCGCCTTGCGGACCAAAAAAAAAAAAACTTCGAATTCTTTTGCGAGAATAATGAGTTCTTTCCATGTGCGTTACACAAGTAACGGGGTCATTTATCTTTAAGTGCGGATTCTTCCAATGTACTCACCTACGCGTTTGTGTGCCTCGTAAGCTGGGTCATAGGGCAAACCCTAAAGCCCAATTTATGTATATGGCTCTTTCGCAGGACTTGGACACCAAAGCCATGCCAAAACACCTTAGTCGCATGATTGTACACTTCTCAATAGACCTGCACCGGGAGCTGCTCAAGACTAGGGACCAACGCAACAATACCATCTATTCTCCATACAGCGTTGCGACAGGTCTCTCCATGGCCCTCGCCGGAGCACGTGGCAAAACCGCCGAAGAGCTCCTCTCCGTGATCCGAACAAAGGATGAAAATGTTCACGATAAGTTTGCGTCCTTTTTCCCGAAGCTGTCGAATCAAAAGCTGCAATTCTACGTCGCCAACAGAATCTACAGCGATCTGAAGTTTCCAGTCGTCGATGAATGCGCGGTCTTCCTGAACTCTACGTACTCGTCCAACATCGTGTCCGTCGACTTCCAGAACAAGAGCGAAAGCGTCAGAGTCCAGATCAACGACTGGATAAAGGAAGCCACCGGATCCAAGATAACGGACCTCCTGGCTCCGGGAAGTGTGGGCCCTACGACCAGCGTGATCTTGGTAAACACCATATATTTCCGCGGTCTCTGGGAGTCACCGTTCTCGGCCGATAAGACGTCGCGCCGAGATTTCCACGTCAATGCCTCTACGAAAGTGCAGGTGGACATGATGTGCCAGAAAGAGGATTTCGCCATCACTCACAGTGAGGAGCTCGCGGCCAGGGCCATCGAGATGCCTTACAAAGGTGGCAGGGCATCCATGGTCGTACTGCTACCTGACGCCATCGACGGTCTGTCCTATCTAGAGCATCATCTATCGCATCACAAGCTGTCGGCAGTCTTGGCGGATCTCAAGGAGACACCAAACGTCGAACTAAGCATGCCCAAGCTCCTGCTACGGCAGAGTTTCTCTCTGAAGAACACCCTCATGACAATGGGGGTCAATGACCTGTTCACGGAGAAATGCGACCTCTCCGGCATGTTCAAGGCGGGAAAGCCGTCGGTGTCCGACATAATACACGAGGCATGCCTGCAGGTGGACGAGGAAGGCATGGAGGCTGCTGCTGCCACCGCTGTTACGGGTGCCGGGTCTGCCGCCCCAGCAGCAACGCAGACGACGGAGTTCCTGGTTGACCATCCATTCATGTTGTTCATATTGAGGGGCAAGTCCGATATGGTCCTGTTTATGAGCTCCGTGCGAAATCCTTGACATTTTTTTTCTTTCCTGTGCCGATTCCCTGTGACAGAAGTCGGGAATCGACTTTCGTCAATTGATTGCAGCTTTGGACATGTGGCCTTACCACAAGAGTATAAATAAATTGGGAACGTGCCACACGCGCGGGAGTATCCACTTGCTGATTATTTCATAAGGTACACATTGTACAAGCCCATAACCTATAGTGAACAGCGGATAACCTAGTGAACAGCGATGACCTGCTTCTACCCTCTCGTGGTATTTAACAGCTCAAGAAAAATTGGGGGACCCCTAAGCTAATAGTTGAACGCAATAGCGATATCTTGTCCCTAGTGCGTACTTCAAACATTTAGTTCATGAAGTCTTTTAGAAGTTACTAGACACCCACTACCTGAGGCGCTGTAAAGTGTGCCTTTTGTATTGGGTAACCGGCTTTACGCGACAGCGTTGACGAAGTCGTTTCGCAGAAATTCCGGTGTTGGCGTCAGCGTCGTTGAATGTGAGTGAAAAATCATCTTGTGTGTTACTGAAAAATCGAGAAATATTAAAAAAAACAATAAAAAATTCTGGGTAGGGCTGAGGCTCGAACCCGGGTTGTTTGCGTGGTAAGCAACTCTTCGACCACAGAGCCACACGTCTGCATGGAAATCCAGTGACAATCACTTCCTCTGTTTGGAAATGCAATTTAACAGACATTCTTCACAAACACACGCATCCTGAATACTTGCTTCACAATGCAACGTGCAATATGACAATATTGCATGGTACAAGCGTACACTGTGATCGGGTGTCAGAACATGTGATTATCATGACTTCATTGTTTAAAGCGAGCCACCCTCTACAAGAGGCACACACGTTACTACGCCTTTTCCTTTAAGGTCACGTAGTGGATGCATAGCAAGTTCGAAAAGGTTTCAAGTGGCCTAAGCCCAGGGCACGAGTTTCCCGGAGTTAATAAAGTGGTTACCACCACCAACGCCACTATTGCATGTGGTTTAAAGCATGCTACCCATTACACAGAATGCAGCCGTATGCAAAAGCTTCACTGGCACGAGCCACTTTGAATTCATTACGCATTAGGGACAAGACATCACTATCGCGTTCAATTCCTAAAGGCGAAGCTTAAGGATCCCCGCATTCTTTCTCTTTTTAGGGGCGAAGCTCCTTATGGCGTGGCTTGTGCGTCCATCGTAGTACGTAACCACTAGTGGCGCACACCCGAAATAGGTATAACATTTGACCTCCAAGGTGGTGCCGGTGAGAGATTTCTTCTGTGCGTTGTTTAACAATAAAAAATAGTGCTCAATGTACATGCCAATGGCTGCTAATGGGGAATGAGAGACATGAGCATTCGGCTTTTAGTCAACGCGCACGCTGCGATCCCCATTAGCAACCATTGGCATGTACACTGAGCCCTATCGGACAAGAAAGGGTTGCTACATTATACTCGCTGGGTGTAACCTCCTTAGTTTTAGAAAGGTTTAGCGAGCGTTGAGCCGCAGGGCCATGAATACAATGAACTAGTATATACCATGAATGAATTCGAGGTGGTTAAAGGGGGGAAGCAGATACGAAGCGCAAGTCGTAAGAAATTAAAAGCTGAATCCCCCTGTCTCTCATTTCACATTAGCAGCCACTGGCATGTACATTGAGCACTATCTGACAGGGAAAGGTTGCTACGTTATACTCGCTGGGCGTAACCTCCTTGGTTTTAGAAAGGTTTAGCGAGCATTGGGCCGCAGTGCCATGAATACAGTGAACTAGTATATACCATGAACTCAAGGTGGTTGAAGGTGGAAAGTATACCCGAAGCGCAAGCCGTAAGAAAGTGTGCGTGTGCCACCTCTCGTTTAGTCCTTGGAATGTCCACTGAATGGCGGTGCTTCTATATGGGGAATATATGATAAAAAGATGCGAGATGATGGGACTTAGAGTGTTGAATAGATGGACGAACGGACACACAGACAGATGCATGGATGGACGCATGAACGGACGCAGGGGCGGATGCATGAAGGAACGCAGGGACGGGCGCACGAACAGACGCATGGACGGTCACACAGACGGACGCATGGACGGACGAATGCTTCGCCCCTCTCTCAATCATTCACTCCGTGGATATGCTGTCATTTTTAACATTTGTGAAAGCTGCACTATTGAATGGCCGCCTGTGGCGTCTCTTCTCTTCCAAAACTTTTTTCCTCCTCCAGTGTAGGGTAGCCGACAGCGCTCAGCGTGGGTTAGCTACTCCCCTCTATTTTATCTCCTTTCTACTTTTTCTCTCTCACGCTTTCTCCTCACCCGGCGTAATGCCCACCAAAGGCTTCTTATACATGTGTGGCTTGCACTTAGTAAGCCGCCATCATGCTTATTTGCTTAGTCCGTGGTAATCTTGCACTGAGCATTGAGACATTTTTGTGAAATTTTAACATTACAAGGGACAGGCGCCTTTTTACGCTTTAATGCTGTTTTACCGGTCCCTTAGGCACGTTGCCCTTTTTTTTTTGCCTCCCGCTATACTGGAATGCAACGATTGTTGCCTTGAGTAAGCTGGTGGTAAGCCTCACTAAAGAAAGGAAATTCGCAAACGGGATTTCGCTCAAGAGCGTTATCTGCGTTTTTATCGTAGTTGTATATGGTGACCTTTCAAGGGGCTCGACCCATAGACGTTCCGCCAGGGAAGGTGGCTCCACATCATCTATAAGACGGCACGGGCGTAATCGGGGGGTCAGTTCTGCTTGCGTATATCTACATAAAAATGCACGCACGAACATAGAGAAAGCATGGCTGAACCCCTCCACCCCTCACGAAAAAATATTTCTGTTATACGCTTCTGTAAAAAGTGGTGGCCTCATAGGTAAGCCTGTAATCAGTCATTGCTGTCCCATCAGTGATTAAGGTGAAGCCTATGAGCATGCAAGACTTTGTGGATAATGGCGGCCAACCACTCCTCACGTTGCATTGCAAGAACAGTTTACATTCGACCTTTATTCCAGGAAAGCAGAGTGCCAAAGGCAAATCGCATAGTGAAGAGTACGCAATCGCTTCATTAACATTCCGTCATACATTGCTAAGGTTTCTTTCTGTCTAGACAAATCTTGGGGGAGGGTTGGGGAGTAACTATTCAATAGGTGAATTGGAAAACCTTGCACACGTCTATGACTTAACAAAAAATGCAACGAGCTTGAAAAAGCCCAGCAGCATTAGTTATGAAGCCGGCATGTTAAGTCAAGGAAAAAATAAAACAAATAAAACAATGCCACTAGGGTTTTAAATTTTTCAGTAATCGATTCGTGAGGCGATGATCTCCTTCAATAGACCCATTTTATACTTACTTCTAAAAGCGTTGCAGGGCCTCTTTAAATTTAATCATGACCGGAATGCAGATGAGAGTTGGCTTTCCTTCTTGCGCAGATATCTACTCCGTCTATGGTAAAATATACTTGGCAACATTTAGAAGTTGCTGTACACCATGACTGCCCGTAGTACTTTCAACAGGCCATGAATTTTATAAGACGCTGACTGCGGTCCTGTTAAACAAACGTGGACAAGCGGCCAGATACACGCACGTACACGCTGTAGCTTCTGCGCGGTATTCCGTCTGACCCTGGAGCTTGTACAGCAAAGGCCACGGGTATTTCATCTCACTCACTGAGTATCATCTCTGAGCACTCCGTTGGCTTCGAGCTCATGGCGCAATGTTCAAGCTCAATCGCTTCGCCTTATTGAACTTTGAACAATTATTGGTCACCTCACGGGGGCGAAAGGCATAATGTGCACCCTACATGGCGCTTGCCTTCGCGCGCTATTTTATCGACGGAGGTATATCTCTACCACGGTCCACGGTGTAAGCACCGTGATCCTGATATAAAACTTCCTCTATGGTGACGAGAACGGCAACGTTCAAGTGTACGACGCAGAACGCGAAATACTGCGAATATTGTTGAGTTTTTTTTTACAGTCGGTCAATAAGACCACAGGCCTGAAGTAGTACGCAGAAACAACGATGCACTATTTGCTCGCCAAGCACTAAAATCACCCTGCGAGATGTGGATGCATGCACGGTAAAGTGCCTTCTTGTAGGGGTTGATAAATGCGTATACTCACCGATTTTTTTTTTACTCGGTAACGTGCACATGTACTCGTGATTCGTGAATGTGCTTTCGAGCACCCACGAGGACGCCATGCCGAGACGAGAAAGACGCGACGTGCTTTGCCTCGCTATACAGTCCCGTAAATGGCCAACCATTGGTGCATGGTGCACCTCGTGCTTGGCGCTTCAACCATGCTCACAGAGGCCACCAAGTGGCTTTGAGGAAGAGTGAAATATCAGTGTCAGAATATTACTCGTTTACGTCACACCAAATGCTTACGTTACGTTTTTACTAACGTAGTTCTACCTAATCATTGCAGTAAACGAAAAGCGATATAAATAAATAAATAAATAAATAAATAAATAAATAAATAAATAAATAAATAAATAAATAAATAAATAAATAAATAAATAAATATTAGTTCTTGCGGCTTTTGCGAATCAAAGTCAGGCGCTGAAAACTCAGCTCTATACTTCTGAATTTCCATGGTCCGTTTTCTGGCATCACGCAATATGAACGCTCTTTCAGGGACATTAGCGATGTGGCTGCGCAACGACCACACACGCCTCCCCGCAGAAGTGAGTGAGTATGAACTTTATTAAGGTCCTGAGAGGAAAGAAAGCGGTGCCGAAAGCCCCGCCATCAATCCGGCGGCTCCACCCAGGTCGGGACCGGTAGACAGAGTCTCTCGGCGACGGCCCGGGCCCTCTGGACAGCCTTGAGCTGGGCGATGAGCTCTGTGCTTCGAAGGGCGGAGTCCCAGGAGGACTGGTCAGAAAATTCTGTACCCACGTTGGCAGGGCACAACCAGAGCATGTGGTCGAAATTGTTATACTCGTTTCCACAGTGTGGACATGCAGTGGAAAAGTCCGGATTAATCCTGCTTAGTGTCGTTGGTGTGATGTATGTACGTGTCTGCAATTGTCTGTAAGTGGTTGCTTGTGCTCTGTTCAGGTCTCTGTGAGGAGGAGGAAAAGTTCGACGTTCTAATCTATGATGTGAGGTGAGTTCGTGATATGATACAAGTGGGTCTTTGTAATCGAGGTTCCTGCAGGCT